GCTTCCCGCCGAGCAGGGAGCCCGATTTGGGACTCCATCCCAGGATCCTGGGATCATGACCTGAGCCGAAGGCAGACGCTTAACGACTGAGCCACCCAGGCGCCCTTATTTAGCTTTTCTTTATAAGGATGGAGGTGAGGGAGCATTGTAAAGAATATGGACACTGGAATTATGTCAAGGGAATGGTCCCACGGATGCTTTCTACCACTGTGTTGCTGTTGTAGGATTATTCACTGTCCTAAGCATGTATCAAGTTTCTTTGCAATCTCACCAGACTGTTGTCAGCTTGCATAGTAGTTACTGAGAACCTGCAAGTTGTCTTGTATATCTATGATTTGTTTCTGACACGACATAAATTCTGAAAATTTTCTTCACTTGAATAAACATGTTCATGAAATTAAACATTTTTAAAAATGAAAAATGCTTTTCAGCAGCGTGAGTGATGCCATTTTTACTTAGCCCCCATTTATATTTTATAAATCATGCTTTTTTTTTCAAAGGCAAGAACCAAATTTACCTCAAAAAGAAGAGGGGGAGAAACTTTTCTTTTAAAGGATAGGCTTCAATATATTGATGACAATAACAGATGGGCACAGCCATCATTACTGCCATATGCAGAAAAACATCCGACGCCTATTGAAGTATTTTGCCTTTCTGTTGCTGGAATGGTGAACACTGTGAACCCCTTCCTTTGCCACAGCTGTCTCGAGCTGAGCAGCGAATGAATAGATTGGATCAGTGCTATTGTGAGAGGACCTGCACCACGAAGGGAACCACCTACCGAGAATTTGAGTCCTGGACCGACGGCTGTAAGAACTGCACGTGCCTGGTATGGCTTCCGCTGAGAGTTCAGATGGAGGGAACGCAGATGCCCCCACTCTTTAAAAATTTATTAAAACAATGTAATCATGAAAATTTCAAGACCCATTTCCTCAAGACACAGCACTAAAGTGCCGGCCAGCCCGGTCAAATTTAAAGAACTGCGTGTTGCATTATTAAAGACACTTTCTAGCCTATAAAGATGATTATGGCTTAGGAATACTATAAAGTTTGAGTTTATTGGTGCACACATGAAGTTAGCAATTTAAATTGGGTTAGTGAAGGTGATTCCCAAAGGATTCTATCCGTTATCCTTAACATTTCAAGAGATTTTCCCCTCATGGGTTTATTAATGCATTTTAATATAACTAAATTATATGCAGCATGAAATACTGTCACCAGATTGGGCCATACTAACAAATAATGGAGTTTAACTTAGCAATCTTTTAAAGTTTGCTAATATAGTAGAATAAGAATGAGAGAATTTAAATAAATATGATTTCTCTAATTGTGCACTCATAAAGTAGAAATATTTAGTGCATTACTATTTCAAAAATAGGTTTATTTTCAAAGAAAAGGTGAAGACTCATTCGGTTTTTAAATTTTAAATTTCACATGAATTCATCAGTTAAAAGTCATTTATTGGAAAGAAGCCAGAGGTCTATGTGAATTAGCCTTTAAAAAAAATTTCTCCAAATTTATCAGGTTTGTTCAAAAACAGAATTTCATGCATTAAAAAAGTTAAAGCTACCTCCAAAATAGTCATATGTGTGTGCATGTACGTGCATGCATCATATGATTTCTATTCGGGAACGTATAATCTTCCCACCAAAATTATAGCACTTTACCAATACAGTAAAGCCTGCCCAACGTGTTAAATGGGAGGCAAAAATCGAATTGAGTAAAATGCAAGAGGTGTATAGTGAGGTCAATAAGGTGACTAGAGAAGCAGCTAGCTGCCTGGGAGTTCTGGATGACCTTCAGGAAATAAATTTCTTGCCATCCTGTTTGCGGTTGAGTGCTTCTCGTGGTGGTTGTCAGCACTGCCTCGTGGTGGTGCTTAAATATCCATGGGAAGATTCTGGGTCCCAAGACTGGGTCTGCAGGATGGCAGCAGCTATTCCAGAAATCCCCTGGCTTGTGGGTGCTCATTTTGTGCATAATCCGGGCAGACATGAGGCTTACCCCTAGCCTGCTGTCAGTGTGTGCTCCTCCCTCCACCCATGTTCTCATCCACCTCCCTCAGAAGGGGGAGAACTCTAGGGTGTGTAGCATCATCACTGGACAGAAGATGGGAGCCAATCACCAACTGTGTTAGGACCCAATACGTTTTACTGCGGGTCTCCATGCTATGGGTTTTACCGTGTAATAACCACAGAGAATAGTGGTATTTATGACATTTTATGTGAAGAGTTTAGATTTAAAGATATTTTAAGATTTAAAAAATATTTTCAGGCTATCAAACTGCAACTTGGGAATTCTTTAAATATTGCTTTCTTCTCAGAATGGAACTATCCAGTGCGAAACTCTGATCTGCCCGGTTCCTGACTGCCCCCTTAAGTCGGCTCTTGCATACGTGGATGGCAAGTGCTGTAAGGAATGCAAATGTGAGCATAACTTTTATGATGAATACTTTGTTTTGGCAAAAATAAATCTTTGTTATTAATAAATATTCACCCATCATTGGTTTGATCTGGGCACCCTAAAAAGCTTTTAGAAATGATGCAAATAGGAAGAATACCTTCTTTACTTTGGTTGATCAGTTCTTTTCCATTTAAAAATGCTATACTTGTATTTAACAGGAAAATTCTTTTCTTGGAGGAATCTGTTCTGTATAGTGACAGTAGTAGGAAAGATCTGTAAGAAACTTAGTGGTAGGCATTTCTCTCATTCCACTACTTGATACAAATACCTCCTAAATAGGTTAAGAATGGTCCACACTCAGCCATGGGGACCAAGGAAATCCATGAAGCAAGTGAGTTTGGATAGCATGTTATCATAGGATTGTCCAGTGTGGATGGGGCCGTGGTGTCAATTCATAAAAAAAAAAGGCTCACACTCCTGAGTGAGGAAGCTGTGTGACCTTCGTAGTAGCCGTGTGGTTCACTTCTGATGTCAGGAAATGCTCTCTGAATTCATAGCTGTCCTGAAATGAGTTCTATATCATTCATTCAATAACAAATCGTTGCATTTATGTCACTTACACTTTAAAAGACTGTCCTTAAACTCTTGTTAAAAGGAGCATTTAAAATTTAGCTATTTTTGTCCAAAGGGATAATAGGAAGCTATGTAAATGGAGTTGTGATGAATTTTGTAGGATATACAGGGCTATGTGAGTGCAGTATCATCATACATGCAGGAGCAAAGACGGAGAGGTGGGGGAGGGGAGGGAAAGAGATGGGGAGAGAATGAATGGTTGCTTGTGCTGGGGCTTTTGTTCGCCCTGCTCCGTTTACCACTGCCATGCCCGACTCTTGCCTATGTAGTGTGCAGTGTGCTGTTGCTGGTCAAAGTGACAAGTTCTCAGGGAAGAATCAGGAGGTCGCTTTGTAGCCCATTGATTTAATTCCCTCAGGAGCTCATTTATATTTAATTTTATTAGACTTTACATTGAAGCCAGTCCATTTCACGAAAGTATATTAGCCTAGTCAGATAGGTTTGGCTGAACCAGGAAGAACTGAATGCAATTTTTCTTATATATGTCACTAGCTAATTTCCTCAGTGAGGAGTCATCTGAGTTCCTTGAACTTGTCTTAGTATCTGAAAGCTTGTGGTGATGTTCTGTAGTTTTCTTTGTAGATAGACAGAGATAAGAGGAAGCAGGGCCCTTTCTAGGGCTTTATATTCATAACACAACAATAGCAGGAATCAGACTTTTTGCTTTAAATTCTTTTATCCTTCTTTGCACATGTACTTCTACACAGTTACCCCTGAATATAACAGATTTGCATTAAGTGATGTCAGTTTTATTAGAGCAGGCTGATTGAAATAATGGACCATCATGATAGATGCATTAGTCAGAAGTAGTGAATTTCAATTCTGATTTTACCATTTGTCTCTGTTACCAACAGTCAGCTGCCTACTGAATCAGACAATGCTTGAAATCTTCCCAACAACAGGCAGTTAGACTTAATGAAATGGTAAAATATTTTGAGATTTATTAATGCAAAGTGGTTCTGGCAGACTTTGGTGTTAATGATTGAAAATCGACTGTGTTTGTCTCATGTATCATAGAGAAAGCTGCAAGTAAGTAATCAGTGAGGGGGACCACAACATCCCTGAAGTAATGCCAAAATAATTTATTTGAGTCTTTCATTTTCTATGGTTAAAGTAGTAAGGATAAAGTGACTTTGTCCTTCTGGTTCTATTTAGTGAATGAATGCCATGGAATATAGAGGATTTGTGCCTATATTTGTATTTTGAGTATTCGAAGTACTTCTAATTCTGATGAATTCAGCGCTTTACAAGAGCTAGCAAGAAATTTTCTGTAAACACCAACAGACTTTTTTTTTTTCCTAAGGGAAATAAGGAAAATTTAGGTCTTACGGTAAATATTTTTAAAGATTACTTGGGAACGTGTCTTCACATGCACAATTTAAAAACCAGTCAGTAAAAATATTTCAGGAAATGTGCTTCTGAAAAGTTTGCAAAAACTTATTTTATAAAAGAAAAGGTAACATTTAAACTAAATTTAATAATCATTAACTGACTTGCTTATTCAGACTTTAATATGTGCTGAGAGAAGCAAATAGTTACGTAAGAGTGAGTGTGTATGTGTGGTGTGTGTGTGTGTGTGTGTGTGTGTGTGTCACTATTACATATGAGGTGAAGCAGACAGTCTCTTTTTCTTATGTTAGTGTTCCCAGTATTACCATTGTTATACTTTATGAGAACTTAATTCCGGTGGAGTATGAATTGAGCGGTATGTTTTTTACTTTTTAAAAGAGAACCATAAGCCTTCCTCTTACACCCTGAGCTCATCCTGTCTTTGCAACTCTGTTGCTCAAAGGCCTTTTTAATGACATAAAACTAACAAAATATATTTTTTACTGAGACCCATTTAAAGAGATTCATCACTTGTTTCTAAAGTCCTTGGAAGGGAAAACATATAACCTAACTGCTGAATTTGACTCTGCCAAGATTGAAATGAACAAAAGAAGTGCAAGTGGCCAGTGGTTTTTTGGTGTTCTTTATTGAATGCTTTCCGGCTCGCTTCAACAGAGTTGTTCGCGCAACCCTGTTTTGCAGTCCGCTTTATATTTTCCCTCTGTAACTTCAGCTCCAGCTCTTTATCCACATATAAATACTGGTGAATAGTAAGAAGGTTGTTGTTCTGGGAAAGAAGTCAAAGAGAACCAAGCCTGTCACTTTTCTTTATTTGAATCTACATAAGCAAAGTGTTGGAAGGAGGGAACTAAGCCTCTTCCTGCTCCTATCCCTGAGCTATTGTGGTGGAGTTAAACAGAGAAAGAAGATCCAAAGGCAGGAAATGCCAGCACCAAATAATTACGGTCATAATAATCACAACTACAATGAAGTCATATGGTTAGAAGGCGCGTAACTCTGCTCTTCAATGTGAGCTTTACAACAATTCTATAAGGCAGGCATTGCTTCCGTCTTCCTAATAAGAGCAAGTGCATGACTTGTCCAAGAACACACAGTTAATTAGTTGGAAGTCACAGAGAAGTTCCATCTGGAAGTGCTGTGCTTTTTGAGCCTACCTCCTTCTTTAAAACCATCTGCTACAGGGGCACCTGGGTGGCTCAGTCAGTTAAGCATCCGACTTTTGATTTCCGCTCAGGTCATGATCTCGGGTTGTGAGGTTGAGCCCTGCCTGGGGCTCTGCACTCAACACAGAGTCTGCTTTTTCCTCTCCTTCTGCTCCTCCCCTCTGCTTTCTTTCTCTCTTAAATAAATAAATAAATAAAATTTGAAAAACAAAAACAAAAAACAAAACATCCGCTACAGTTAATCTAAGTGATTTACTTTTATCCACTGGTAACTAAGCTTACCATGCAAAAGTGGTGCAAAGTAAGCAGGCTTTGCTTCCATCCCTCTCTCTTCTCCTTTTTCAGCCACCATCAGCACATCCTAGTCACAGGCTCTCAACTAGCCAACAATGAGATTGACTGACACGAATTCAAGATAACTCTACAAAATGTAAAATATAAATACTTTGGGTGACTTTAACTCTGAAATCGGATGAGGTCCAACCAATTAAAATATGTAAAATCTCAACCCAGGTTAAGAAAACAAAAAGAATTGTCAGAAAATAATTGATCAAAGTTCTAGCAAATAGAAAGTTACTGAAAGTCACTGAAATAAAAAAAAAATTAAAGATTCAGTTTTGAACACAGAGCCCTGTTTCACAGAAGAGGTGATTCATGAAAATTGGGTATCTGAGGCAAATCTGAACTAATACTCTAGTGTCTTTTGCAGAGGAGGCTCTGTTTAAAACAACAATAACAAGGAAGGCAGATTTCCCCTTCTTTTCTGGAGAGGCATCAAATATGGGAAATGTGAATGTGACCATCAAAATTGGTTGGTGCTTGTCTAGTAACACTACTGCTTTATTTTAATTAGTACTGTCTCAAAGAGGCCAGATTTATATGAATAAATTAAAATCATCATTCTTTTGATTGAACAAGATCAGAGTTTCAATATATAATATAGATTACATTTTAATATGCTCTGTGGTGATTAGACAACAGATTTATTAAACCTAATTTAAAAAGTCCTGTCAGCTTAGATAAAATGAAATTATTATAATGTCTTTGCATACTGAGCAGTTAAGTATATGGTTAATAGAGCTAGATTTTCTTTCTGGGTTTATATTCTGGCTTTACTACTTATTAGCTGTGCAACTTTAGTCAAGTTACCAAAACACTCAGAGTCTCAGTTTACTTTTCTGTAATAGTTATATCTATTTTATAGGGTTAGGCTGAGGGCTAAATGAGTAATACATGTCAAGTGGCTTGGAACAAGGTGAGCTATTATTATTGTTTTTGTTAAAAGAACTCTTTGTGTTTTAATTCATGAAAGTGGAGAGCAGTGAGATTGTCTCATTGGGTCATAGATGTAAAGCTACACAGGACCTTAGAGATCTTCAGAACAGTCACTTGCTTTGGGGGAGGGAAGGCTTCTTTATCTCTGTTTTACAGAGGAATAATGAGGCCAGGGAGGTTAAATGACTTTTCTGCGATCACACAGTTAGTATGTAATGCAAGGTAATTTTTTTTTCCAAATTGTGTTCTGATATATGATACTACTCCCTTCAAGGCACTCTCTTCCTCAGTATTTTGGATAAGGCTTGACCAAGGTTGACAGTAAGAACCAATTTATCACGCATTATATGTTCTTTTATGTCTGACTTCTTTCATTCAAAATCCTGTTTGTGAGATCCATCCATATTTTTGCATGCAGATGTCAATTATTCATGCTTATTGCTGTATATACTCCATGTGTGTTAATGTACCACAATCCAGTCTATTATTGAAGGACAGTGGGGTGCTGTCCAGTTTTGGCCTATATAATTAGTCCTTCTGTAAACATTCTTTACATGCTTTTTGGTGTTATACCTGCCTGAGCAGAATTGCTTGTTTGGGGG